AGGAAAGAGGGAGGAGGAGGAGATGAAGAAAGGAAGAAGAGAGGGGGCAAAGAAGGAAGGGAGGGAGGGAAAAAGAGAAGAAAGAAAGATAAAAGGGAAGGAAGAAGGGAGGGAGAATTTACTGTTCCTTTCGAACTCATTTTGCATCTGCATACAGCAGAAGTACCATTTCCAGGAGAAGGTCCTGAAGTCAAGAGCCTTCTTCCCATTGGCAGTGGGCAGGAAGCGAGATGGGCTTACCTAGGTGGTGATATCGTCTCCTCGGGGAACGTTCTGGTCTACTCTGGCTGTAGAAAATGAATTGAGTTTGCTTATTTGGCAAACCTCAGCTCCCCAAGAAAATTCCCAAGCTGCCAGCCACGCCGACCCCCGCAACACAGGTACCCCAGAGAGAAATTGTTTTTGAATTTTCTAATGGGGGATTAGCTTCAGAGGAAGTAGCAGAAAAGTATTATTTGCCACGTTGGTGACCCACCTCAGGGAAGCCCTATGTAGATATCATTTAAAGACAAAAAAAAAAAAAAAAAAAAAAAAAAAAAAAGGTCAAAGGCCTATGTTTGCAACAGAAAAGCCCAAACAAAGCTGAATAAGTTAATGAAACAGCATCTGAAACATAGCCACCTTCTTAGAGCTCTGCCACTGACCTGCCCCATTGCTTGCCCTCTCCCCTGTTTTTGAATCCCCATGAAGTCACTTTTTCTTTTATGCTTCCATTGGGCTTCAATGGTTCCAGAGATGTGGGGTTCATTTTTGCTTTCTGTGCTTTTTTTAATCTCTTCTTTTCTCTTATAATATTCCTCCTCTAACTTGTCTGATGTGATTCATTTCTTCAAGATCTTGTTTTATTTTTAAGTCATCAATTACTCAAACTTTGTGAGCTTATCTATCCTCAGCCATCTGGATTCCATACCTTATTTTAAAGCATGTTCAAGTAATGACAACCTTCTTTTCTCAATTAATTTATGGGCTGTGGGGACCATTTTTCATTTGTTATCACGCACTTCCATTTGATCTCTCATATCTTTCTTCTGCATCTGCAACCATGGTGTATAAATCTTCCACCCCGGCTTTGTCATGGTGTCCAAGATATATAGGTATAACTTCCTATTAGTTCCACAAAACTGACCTTAATTTCTAAAAATGGTATCAGATGTGAATAAAGTTTGGTAAGATGATTTGTTTTGATTTACTTTGTACCACTTATCTTTGAGTTTTCTTCCTACTTTTCTTTTATCTAATTTAGACGGTAGAGAATCGCAAGCTGGGTTACGGCTTATCCATTACCTCCCTGCCGACGCCGCTCCTTAGAGAGATAGGGCTGGGAGATTTTTGACTGTGGATAATAATAATGTGGACTCTGGGCATGCTGGAGGCTGGTTTGTGTTGTTTTCTATTTAATGCAAGCTGACCTGCAAGCTTCAATATCTTCTATTTCAAAAATGTGAATATTTTCAAATAGCACAACTATATCAAGTTATTAGATATTGAATCTGAGACTTGCATAATAAAATTAGACATGCAGATCCAAGTATCTTTCTCCTGCTGCTGCTCAGTTGACAAATAGGAGTACAGGAAGACCCAGATCTCTCTCCGACCATTAGGGGAGGCTGGTTTTGGATTTCTGAGGGGCTGTGGCTTACAAAACAGAATCTGTGTGTGGGGTGTGTGTGTGTGTGTGTGTGTGTGTGTGTGTGTGTGTGTGTGTCTGTGTGTGTTTTGTTTTACATAAACAGACTTCCGTCCAAACTGGAGAATGCTAATTAAGCAAAAAACATGGCCAGATGTTTATTAACACATCTCAGGTTCATGGGATTTGGAGACTGTGCAGTTTTCATGAACTAATTTAAAAAGGGAAACACCTTTATTGGAATAATGGCCAATTATAACTGCGGACTTTGCCTATTCTTTTCTGTGCGGGTGGGAGTGGGTGGATGGGGGTCCTTCCCAGTTGAGAGATGAAGAGCCTGTCCACATCCTGGTGCATCTGGCTTCAGCCCACACCCCAGCTTTGGGTGTGGCCTTTCAGCCAGCCCCCCTCCCCTCACCACACACGCTGCGCTCCCTGGAGTCCAGAAACACACCCACGTAGACACACAAAATAAACCCTGGGCAGTTCGGTATGCAGAGTCAGTTGGTTATGGGGTTTTGTCTTTGTTTCCTTTCATCGTGTTATGAGTTTACCTTGTGCCCAGCTGCGTGAGTACCTATTGGTATGGAGACTATCAGAGAAGACGCTTTGCCAAACAGTGCAAACAGTGGAGCATCTCTGGAATGCCAGCAAACCGTGAGACAGGAAGAGGGGCTGTCAGACCACAGCATGGTGACTTCACTCTGGGCCCCAGATTCAAACTGTGGAGTAATAAAACTGAATAGCATCATATAAAACTCTGCGTTTCATAAGACAAATATTGCTCTATGCATTCCTGTCCCTTGCACTATGTTAACTGTAGGAAGAAATGGAAACAGTTTTAGTGACCCCCTGGGACCTATAAAGGCTATTTCTGAGTCTGAATCTTGCTGTTTAATTTAATCATTTATTATATTAATATTCAAATGGGCTGCATCTTATTAGCTACTGCAAAGATGTTAGTATGTCTGAAATAAATACCTAATTATGCTTTTGAAGAGAGGGGTTCTAAAGACTTTGGTATGTTTGTGCTAATAGAACAGTTCATTTGCAGATTTTTCTGCAGAAATCAGCAGTTTTAGGCTTTTTTTTTTCTCTCTCTCTCTCTCTTTTAAGAAAATAAAAACAAGGACTGAACATCCACTGAGAGGTTTCAATAGCAGGTCCTAGTTCCACCAGCTCCCAAAGAGCCCTGGAATGACGAGGGTTTGTTCTCTGCGCCCGAGTGAGCGTCCTCCCCAGAATGACCAGCACTTCCAGCTCAATAACACATTAATACAATTAACTGTTTTAATCAAATGACCATGAAATTAAATATGTTCCTGTTGGAAAAAAAAAAAAAAAACCTGATATCCTCTTGGAAATATATTTTTTGAGTCCAACATGCTAATATATTTCTTAACATGACTGTTTCATTATTTTCCATTTGCATCTCATCTCATCTCTCTCTCTCTCTTTCTCTCTCTCTCTCTCTCTCTCTCTCTGTGTGTGTTTATTTCTCTCTCTCTCTCTCTCAATTCCCAGTGCAAAATCAAAATCTTATGTAGGTCATTGATTTTTACATCCACAGACAATGGACACCAGCAACTTGCAGAAATCAGCCCGTGCAGTCTGGGGGGAGTGCACAAAATATAATGCCACATATCCTCTGGGGTGGGAGGAGTGGGCGCCAGGAACCTGCAACTCCATCTGTGTTGAGGCCAGAGCCTGGCAGGCTCCATACGGAGTCCATTTTCCTAATGCTGAGCATTAGCTTCATGAGGATGGATTATGCTGCTGCCGTAATATACACAAACGGTGATGATAAATTCTAAACTAAATGTATACACTGCAATTGGAGCAGTGGAGAAATTAGTGGTTAAGTGCAGAAGTTACAGTCTGAGAAACTGGGAATTACACGTTACTATCTTTCTAAAGTAACTGCCACTGGATCCATGATCACTCTTATTTTTTTATTTTCTAAGATGGCTAAAATGGTATGTCTACTAATACCCAATTATCTGCTTCACGATTTTTTTTTTTTTTTCAGATGAATGTCAGAGCCAAAGGTTAAAGTCCTAAGTGAGTGGAGAAGACTGCTCCCATCGACAGGGAGGGTCTCAGTTCCCCCCGCCCCGTTGACCTCCATTTAACCTTTAAATTGACCTCACACGAGTTTATTTTCCATGTCCTCTCGTGGATGGCAGTCCCGTGGGAGGGGACCCTCTTTTCCTGGGTGGATAATTGCATTGTGGCTTTCAACTGCACAGCAGTTGGTGTCAACCCTTGTATTGACACACCTCCTTCCTGGGCGCTGGCCGCACGCAGCCTGTGTGCTGCCGCTACGCGCGCCACGCCATCCCCTTCCTTCCCTTCCTCAGACCTCTCCCTGCACACCTGCTGGGTATCACGTCCAGGTAAGCATTGTGGCACCTAAGGTCTCTGCCCTCAGAGAGACTTCTTTCCGGCCCATTTGTCCCAACTGTTGAATTTCATCAGGAGTTTGCCGCAGCAGAGAGACAGTGACTGCCATGGGAGTACCAAGCACCACGATGGAGACTGTTATTGATGGAAGACAGCCTGGGGGAGGTGACAAGGGTCTCCTGTGCCAACCTCTGTGCTTGGTGCCACACTAATTTGTCACCTCAAGTCCTCCTCACCGGCTGAGATGACGGGTTGTTTGGTTCTCTCTCTTCTCCAGGGGACAGCTGGACTGAGGCTCAGATAGCAGGAGGAGAGGTCCCTGAACAGGACAGAGAGCGGCCATTGTGGGAGGGCACTCAGCCCTGGCTCCGGTCCCATACTCCCATCATCTCCAGAGACCTAAAGGAAGCACGAGTCCTGTGTAAAAGAATTCACACCTAACTTACCTGGCCCAGGAAAGGCTGTAATGCCAGCCCATCTGAGCGCTCTGAGTTACCACGGTGGAGCCTGGGGCTAGAGACCCAAGGAGAAGAGGAAATTCACAAGCATTGGATGGTCTGGGCGGTTTCTCCAAACCTTAGGCCCAGAGACGGAGCTCCTTCTGGGCATGAGCCTCTCAGGCTGTCTGTAGGATCGTGCATCTCCTATGGAAGATTACTGGGCAAAGTCAGGTGGACAGAGGAACAGAGAAGACCCAGGAAGCTTAGAGGCTGAGGCTGCCAGGGGAGGAGGAGGAAAGTGAGGTTTCTGTTCCAGAGAGTTCCAGAGTGAACACACCGGGGTGTTTCTCCTTGTTCTTGGTGGCGTTAATGGTCTCGACTGTCTGGCTGGCAGAGGAGTCCACAGGGGCTTGTACCTCCTGACGATTTCCCTCCAGGGTGAGACAAGGAAGGCACCCACCAGTCCAAGCATCTGGAACAGAATAAAAGGTTGAGCAGTCACCGAGGCGCCCCGCGGGGTTGAACAGCTCATTTTGTTCACTGGATTAACTGGTTGATCTCATGCTGGTTCTGGTTGGGATTCCTCCTCATGCCAGCCTGCCTTGATTTCCCCGTTCCTCCTTGAACTCTCTGTTTCATCACACAGAGGCATCTTAAATGCCTTGTTCGTTCATTTACTTGTTTATTTTCATCTTCCTCCCACCCCCCCACCCTGAATTCAAGTTCTTCAAAACAGAAACCAGGACCGTTACAGTATTTCACAAAATGGAAATGCAGGCCCTCTTGCTCAAAAATTGTTATGAATTTCACGATGGTGACATTAGAGCAGTAAACCAGGGAGAGGCCCTTCTAAGTGTGGGATTCTGATTGAGGACAAATGTAGCACAGATTGGTTACCTCCTGGAAAGGACTTGTGCAGACCCAGCTAGGGTACCGCCGTGCCCAGAACAGTGCCTAGCAGACAGCGAATGCTCGATACACACCGAAGAATGGACGATGCAGCCTCTGCCACCCCGCAGGGTGGCAACCTTCTTTTCACCGTTACCAGGAGAGACCAGGCATCTCTTGGTGTGACGCAGGCTATATTCTACTAAGCATTAATTGATCAATCGAGTGAACGAATGAACAAAGGAAATATTTGAAGCATGATGAGGGCTTAGAGAAGGGAGAGATTACTTTGCTTGAACTAGATGAGACAGGGCTTCAGGGACAAAGGGTAGCTCTATTTTTAACAATTCGTAGATTTAAATAGGGGAGAAGTGGGCATTGCAGCCAGAGGCAGCGAGTGTGGAGCTGCATCGCCCCACCTGTGTTCCAGGAATGTGGGGTGCATACAGGAATGCAGTGGGAAATGCTCTGGTGTTGGAGGCTGCCCTATTTTCCTCTCCAGCTTGAGTTGAGACTTCCCTTGGAGATCTTCCTCACAGCAGTGGAACAGCCAGGTAAGTCCATGGGTGGGACCAGGGTTGGTAGTTTCCCAGCCAGCCCCAAAGCAGGGCTTCAGATGCCAGAGGGAATGAGGTTAGGATCTGGCAAAGAGAAACTGATCGTCCTAGGCTCAAGGATGTCCTCGTTTTCTCTGAGAGTGAGGTGTCCTAGAGGGCCAGCTGAGTGTAGCTGGCCAATACCTGGCCGATGTGGCTGTCACTCATTCATTCATTACTCATGGAGGTGGGTGGATGATGACAAAGCCTGTACTATGTGCAAGATATTTTAAGGGTTTCCAAAAAAAGTCAAAACAATGATCGTGCAACCAAGGAAGTCACAGTCCATGAAGATGAGTGTTACAAAGACAGCAAGAAGCACGCAGCACTAGACAAAGCCGACAAGGTCGGACTGTGGTGGTGGAAAGGAGTGAGGCCCTGAAGGCTGCCATCAGGGAAAGCCTCTGGTTTGCTGGAAATGCTTCCTGAACATCTCCAAGTTCAAGTCCATCTCCATGGGCTCAGAGGCTGCCCCAGGGGCCTGGTTCTCCGGACCACTGTGCTGTTGGAGGTCCCCCATACTCAGTTTCCAAATGCGTCCTTCCAGCAAGAAGATTGACCCTCCTCTCCCCAGGATGATCCCACCCACTGGAAGCACTACCACTGGGGAATATTAGGCATGGGCAGAGGAAGCAAACCACAGGGGCAGAGGCTGGGGGAGCTTGGTGGGGGCATTAGAAGAGCAGCCCCCAGAAATTAGCTGCGATTTCTATTGGATTTTACAGCCAGATTCTTTATGTTCGGGTTCATTATTATAGCCTGTCTTTTATTTTATTTTTTTTTTCTTTTGCTTTCCCCCCTTCTCCTCAAGACCAGATTAGATTCTCATCAAAAGTCTAGGGGGTTGGGGAGAGCATTTATGGAGATCAGTCTGTGTTTCGGGCATCAGCGGTTAACCGGGTAATATACACTTCTATTACCCTCCTTGCAGTCCTCGGAGGATCAATGCAAGGGGTTTAACGACCACACAACGGAAAAACATATATTCCTGCTGCCTTGGAGCAGCCATCGGGAGCCTGTGTATATGTTTCCCTCATTATTTGGATGTGCCGTTTGAATGTTGTGATCAGTGATTCAGTGCACATGATTCATCAGGAAGGCATTTGCTCGGCAGACATGTGAGGAGCTGTCTGCCTCTTCAATCTCACTGACAGGGCAAAAATGCTGATTTATAGTAAATCATTAAAATCTGCTTATTATGGCACGGCTTGTTCCTCTTCCCCACTTCAAGCCCGCAACTTGATCTGCATCGTGTCTCTTACAATTTTATACTACAGCAAGCAGTTATTTAAACAAGAGGGGAAGGCTCCTTAGTCTTTATTAGTGCATATGAAAGGATATTTTGTTTAAAGAAGACTAATTAAGAATGCAGACGATTTTCTTGCTCCGTGTAGGGGGGGAAATATGAAGATTTAAAATGTCGAAGCAGAACAAAGAATTACTGTACTAAAATAATACTTAAGAATGATGATGTGGTACCTATTTTAAATAGCCATAAAATATCAGTTCACATGTTGCCAAAATTATTGGGAAGGCAGGGGCTTGGGGGCTGGTTTTCTTGAGTTTGGGTTGGAGGGAGGCCATGAAGATCTCTAACAGAAATGAATACCAGCCAGAGAATAATGTTATTATTGTGTGGAACTCCGATATTGTGACAAGGGTTACCTTGCTTTAAAAATTGTGGGGAAAGTTTTGTTCTTTAAAGGGAGAAGATTTAAGATTTGACGGGAACATAATATAAGAATATGTTACATGCCAGGTAAACAAAGAAATAACACAAAGAGGTCTATATTTTGTATGTGTTACTTACAGTAAAAAAAAAAAAAAAAAAAAAAAAAAAAAAAAATTTAATTTGATGCCTGGGGACAAAAATCCTTGCCACTGAATTACAAAGAAGTGAACAAACTGACTCAAAATTAATCCATACAGATCTGTCCCCTTAATAAGACTAATTCCAGAGAACAAAGCAGAGCATAATGCATTTTAAATTAAGTTGGAAAATGCATAATTTATATTTGTTTTATTTCTTCATATTTTAACACAGGTGCATTCCAGAATGCTAAGAACCAGAGGAGAAGGGCATGCTTCTGACCATGGATTTTTACTTTTGAAAACTGAAGGATCTAAGATTTCTCCTCTGGTTCAGGAAGTGAGAGCAGAATCAGACAGAAAAGATGAACGCAGTGAGAAAGGATACAGTATGTTTGGTTAAAATTAATTTAAAGGCTTCTAATTTGTGATGTGACATTCAGCAACAGTTAAGAAAACAAAAACACACCACATTCATCTGGATGAAAATCACATTTTCCTTTTGTCTCAAGTGGTAGTTTTAGGAGAAGCTGGGTGGGGTAGAAGAGCTCCCCTGAAGAGACCACAGTGGCTCCATGGATGAGTAGAGGACCCTCATCCTGCCCACTCGGCCCAAGCAGGGCTGACGGGCAGAGGAAGATGGCCTGGGGCACAGTAGGGACACGGTCTTATTTCCTTATTGCCTTTTTGGCTGCATTGAAAACAGCCTTCTTCTCTCCCACACCAGAACCCCCTTCTTCACTCTCCTTTCTTTTCTAGTCTCTAACCTCATCCCTAACCTATCTCAGCTTTGTTCCCTCCCGTCATTTCTATGACATGCAGAATTTATCCAACTTATTTTAACTCATTGGTTCATTTCAGCTTAACTCATTTTAAATGATGTGTTTCTGTTTTGTTTTGTTTGAAAATCACAAACTAGACACAGCCCAGCTATGACTATTAGAATCAAATTGAATGCCTCAAAATTATTCTTTAACATAAATTGCTCTTTGGAGAGACCTGTGCTAATGATTACATGGTAAGGAAAATTTAGAGGAAAATAGCACCGGTATCTGCTTAGCTATGGAGCACCTAAGAGGGAAGAGACACTGAGCCAAGAGTTCTGCAGCTGTTATCATCTGCCTGTCACCAAGTCCTACAAGCCAGGGCAGAGTCACAGTCCTGTGGTGGGAGAGGAGGGGACTGAGCAAGTGACTGACAGCCTCCGAGCCCCAGTGTAGAACCTGACTCAGGTCCGTCTGAGCCCATGTTGGCAACCGTCATTCATTATGAGCTCCAAAACCTGGACAGAAACCAAGTCCACTCCCCAATCTCACGTGCGCTCTGATGGTCTATAACCACCCAGTATTTCCTAGCTCTGAGGACTGTAGGACTGACACATTCTCTGTAAAGCAGAACTGATGTTGTCACAGGACATAGACCACTAACTTGCCAATAACCCTTTGGATGGTGAAACCATCACACTGATTTTTCATGAGTCTGGCTTTGGGGTTTAGTTCAGAGTTTTTTTTCCTCCATGGAGTAGATCAGCACTTGACTCATTTGCATCCAGAGAAGAAGATACTGTTTAAGGCACTGACTTCCATCCTGCGAAGACTACATGCCTTGCTTTTGGAAGGTTGAATGGGATGCTACTTAAAATAGGATATTCCAGCTGGTTAGGTTTGGAGTTCAGATATACAAAAGTCAGTGATATACTAGGTGCATTTTTATTCTTGCCAAACTTGATACTTGATAGATTTGTTTGGATAAAGTCCTGATTTTCTTTCCAACTTGTGTGTGTGTGTGGCGGATACCAGTTTGATTGTTGCTGGATGAAGCCGGCCTGGTGCCTTCTGGGCTTGCTAAGTCCCCTTGTCATCACAGAGCCACCCTTTCCACCTTGTATCGGCGGCATCACACATTTATTCAGTTTACAGTCTTGCCTCTCTGTCCTCCCCATCACTTCTTCCCTCACTCATTGCCTCTTCAGGGAAGTTAATTGTAGGAGAGAGTCAGGGAGGCAGGGCATTCTCAACTAGGGAAGAGATAAATTCTTCCAGAGGTAACGAGCACATACTGGGATCTAGCCTTTCTTAGAGGTTAGCAGTTCATTTTCTGCTGTGGTTGAAGTTTGGCTGCTTTTGCTTGCAGCTTCGTGGTCTTTCTGTTTCCTCTCTTGCATGATTTTCCCATGTCTTGGTGAGAAGCTCCTTCTAGCCTGAGTCAGTGTGGGGAACAAGCGGAGGATGGACTCAGCGTCTTCTGCAAGATGTGAGGATTGCAACATTCCCATTTGCACATGAACCACTGCTGTCACCAGAGCCACAGACGAACATGCAGGTCACAGCCTGGTCCACTGTATGGCTTTGCCTGAACCTAATGCTCACTCTCTATTCCCATCCCGGCCGGCCCCCTGACCTCTGGAGAAGGCTGCTGGCATTGCACTGACCCAACTTCTCTAAGACATCGAACAACAAAAGAAGGAACCAAGACGTGGGTGTCATTATTGCAGTTCCCATGTAGGTAGAACTCCAGTGGCACTACGTCTTTCATGACTGTCTGTCTTGTCCACTTTCTGAGCCCTTCCACTGCCTTATGCCAGGTGCCCAGTGCCCTCAGCTTCCTGCCTCAGGTCAGAGAGAGACGTCTAATGGCAGACCCATCCACACACTTTGATTGCAATTACACCTTCCTGGGATCTTTGCACTCAGAAAAGTGATCTTGAGAAAGGGCTGGAATGAAACGGTGGAAAGAAACCCTATGGAAGAATTTTATCTAGCATGGTAGCCATGGAAAGATGAATATTTGTGACTACAAACACTATTAAGAAATATTATGGAATGAACAGGTTACTCCAAAGAGAGACAAACTGAAGCCAGTTTCCAGTTGTGTGGTGAGTAGGTGTGTTAGTCCATTTTCAGGCTGTTGATAAAGACATACCTGAGACTGGATAGTTTATAAAGAAAAAGAGGTTTTGTGGGTTCACAGTTCCACTTGGCTATGGAGGTTTCACAATCATGGCAGAAGGCGGAAGGCACATCTTACATGGTGGCAGGGAAGAATGGAGTAAGAACCAAGTGAAAGGGGAAACCCCTTATAAAACAATGAGCTCTCATGAGACTTATTGACTACCATGAAAACAGTATGGGGGAAACTGCCCCATGATTCAGTTATCTCCTACCAAGTCCCTCCCACAACACGTGGGAATTATGGGAGCTACAATTCAATATGAGATTTGGGTGGGGACACAGCCAAACTGTATCGATGGGTTAAGTGAAACCAAACAGATTTTTTTTTTTTTAAATCCTTGAGACTCATTCTCCATATTTAAAGCAGAGATGAAAAAATGTTATTTTTTTGTAAACATTCTGGTCCACTGTTGTTTTTATTTCCATCATTTGGAAATCATTCCCCCTCCCCACCATCCTTTAGCTGCAGCGTCTCTGTGATAGAAATATTTCTAACGGGGCAGGAATCAGGCACAACTCCCAAGCTGCTGTGTTACCCTGAATGTCCCTCATGTATTCCGTGTGTCCCAATTGGGATGACAATTCTGAGAGAGTTTTCCCAAGTATTCCCTTATTATACACGGGCCTCAGTGGTTATCATAATTAGAATTTGCCAAAAGCAGACCTCAGACAAGGATTTGGGTTCCTGTAGCTCATCTGGAGTACGATCCCAATAAGCTGATGAGAGAGAGGGGAGACAGGGAAGACAGAAAGTCAATAAAGTGAGTGTTAAACAGGGGTTACCTTCCTGCAAACTGGAAATGACCCCTTGGGTTCGTGTTGAGAGGTACAGCAACACAAAGCTTGTTAGAAATGCAAATCTTTAAAAGAATTCTTTTCTTGATACATAATATTTTACATGTTTATCGGATACATGTATTTGTTACATGCATGTAATGTGTAATGATCAAGTCATGGTATTTGGGGTGTCTATCACTTTGAATATCTTTGTGTTGGGAACATAAGTCCTCTCCTCTGTCTATGATGAAATATACAGTATATTTAAATATATATTGTATATTCCAATTTAAATATATATTATATACAGTATATTTAAATATATATTGCATGTTGAAATATACAATATATTTAAATATATATTGTATATTGAAATACACAATATTTAAATATATTATATATGTCAACATAGCCAGAGGAGAGGACTTGAAATGTCTAGAGGACTTGAAAATACTAGGCTATCACCCTAGACTAGTATTGATAATTAGCACTTTTTCCTTCTATCCAACTATATGTTAGTATCCATTCACCAACATCTCTTCATTTTCTCCTCCCACACCCACACCCTTCTGGCCTCTGGTATCTATCATTTTATTCTCTATCTCCATGAGATAAATTTTGTTAGCCCGTACATATGAGTGAGAGCATGTGGTATTTATCTTTCTGTACCTGGTTTATTTCACTTAATGTAATGACCTCCAGTTCCATCCATGTTGCTGCAAATAACAAGATTTCATTCTTTTATTTTCATTTCTTTGGCTGAAAGGTATTCTATTGTGTATATATACTGCATGTTCTTTGTCCATTGATCCATTGATGGACTCTTAGGTTGATTTGATGTCTTTGCTCTTGTGAACAGTGCTTGGATAAACATGTGAGTGCAGGTATCTCTCTGATACACAGATTTCTTTGCAACTGGATAAATACCCAGTAGTGGGATTGCTGGATCAAATGGTAGATCTATTTTTAGTGAGAAATCTTCATACTGTTTTCCATAGTGGCTGTACTAATTTGCATTTCCACCAACAGTGTATAAGAGTTCTCTTTTCTCTACATTCTCACCAGCATCTGTTATTTTTTGTCTTTTTATTAATAGACATTCTCACTAGGGTGAGATGTTATTTCACTGTGGTTTTGATGTGCATAGAAATGAGAATCTTATTTCCCTCCTGACCAGGTCTAATAACTCAGAATCTCTGGATTAGGCCTGGGAATCTGAGTTTTAACAATCTCTCCAGGGGAAAAGGTTGGGCTCAGCTTTGAGGAACAATGGCATGGAATGCCCACAGATGAGCTCCCCAAGGGGACAGGAAATGGGTATTTATCTAACAGTGTCCCTCTCTCAATGACTGAGGGTTGTTTCTGAGGGGTTACCTCCCAGAACATTCTGTCTCTTCTGTGCAGGTGCCAGGAAGTGCCCAAACTAGAGAATGTCTCAGGCAGAGAGACACAGAAAACCACAGATCTGAATGGCAACCACATGTGAGCAACTTCTGGGTGGGCCAGGGAGTACTGGTGGGGCAATGACAGGGTCTGCTTCAAATCCCTTCATCTAGGTTATGACAATTTCCAAGTTTAGATCTCTCCTCAATTCCAAATTTGGATACGTCCAACTGGAAGTCTCATCAACACACCCAAAACTACAGTCATCATCTTCTCTG